AATTGTGATTTTTCGTTGATAATCGTCAAAAAATTTTGTTTTGTTACTTGATTTCTGAATGTTTGGTTTTTGCAATTTTTGGTGTATGTGATCTCGAAGTATATACAAACATGTTTGATGGTTGGATTGTTGAAACTAGTTTCGTAGAATGGGTATCTTATCAAAACAATAGATTTACTAACACTAAAGAGTATATTCATACTTTCATTAAGTATAACATAAGATTTTTTGGTATCCATTAGTGTAAATATTTTAAATTGAAGATTGATTTCATTCATTGTATTCGTATAGGGTCAAGGAGTGTAGCTGTAAAAAATCATCAAAATCGGAGTTAAAATAACCGTTAAATCTTGATTTTTGGTTGATAACCGTCGAAAAGTTTTGTTCCGTTACTTGATCTCTGAATGTTTGTTTTTTGCAATTTTTGGCGTATGGGATCTCGAAGTATATACAAACATGTTTGATGGTTGGATCGTTGAAACTAGTTTTGTAGAATGTGTATCCCATCAAAACAATAGATTCACTAACACTTAAGAGGTTATTCATACTTTCATTAAGTATAACATAAGATTTTGTGGTATCCACTAGAGTTAATATTTTAAATTGAAGATCGAGTTCATTCATTGTATTCATATAGGTCAAGAGTGTTGCTGTAAGAAATCATCAAAATCGGCGTTAAAATAACCGTTAAATCGTGATTTTTCTTTGATAACCGTAAAAAAGTTTTGTCACGTTACTTTATATCTGAGCGTTTATTTTTTGCAATTTCTGGCGAATGCGATCTCGAAGTATATACAAACATGTTTGATGGTTGGATCGTTGAAATTAGTTTCGTTGAATGTGTATCCCATCAAAACAATAGATTCACTAACACTTAAGAGTTTATTCATACTTTCATTAAGTATAACATAAGATTTTGTGGTATCCACTAGTGTAAATATTTTAAATTGAAGATTGAGTTCATTCATTGTATTCATATAGGGTTAAGGAGTGTAAATCATCAAAATCGGAGTTAAAATAATCGTTAAATTATGATTTTTTGTTGATAACCGTTGAAAAGTTTTGTCCCGTTACTTGATTTCTGAATGATTTGTTTTTTGCAATTTTTGGCGTATGTGATCTCAAAGTATATACAAACATGTTTGACGGTTGGATCATTGAAACTAGTTTTGTAGAATGCGTATCCTATCAAAACAATAGATTCACTAACACTTACGAGTTTATTCATACTTTTATTAAGTATAACATAAGATTTTGTGGTATCCACTAGTATAAATATTGTAAATTGAAGATCGAGTTCATTCATTGTATTCATATAGGATCAAAGAGTGTAGCTGTGAAAAATCATCAAAATTGGAGTTAAAATAACAGTTAAATCGTGATTTTTCGTTGATAACTGTTGAAAAGTTTTGTCTTGTTACTTAATCTCTGAATGTTTGTTTTTTACAATTTTTGGTATATGCAATCTCAAAGTATATACAAACATGTTTGGCGGTTAGATCATTGAAACTAGCTTTGTAGAATGCGAATCTCATCAAAATAATAGATTCACTAACACTTAAGAGTTTATTCATACTTTCATTAAGTATAACATAAGATTTTGTAGAATCCACTAGTGTAAATATTTTAAATTGAAGATTTAATCGTTAAATCGTGATTTTTCGTTGATAACCGCCGAAAAGTTTTGTCCAGTTACTTGATCTCTGAATGTTTGTTTTTTGCGATTTTTGGTGTATGCAATCTCGAAGCATATACAAAGAAGTTTGACAGGTTGAATCGTTGAAATTAGTTTCGTAGAGTGCGTATCCCATCAAAATGATAGATTCACCAACACTTAGAGTTTGTTTATACTTTCATTAAGTATAACATAAGATTTTGTGGTATCCACTAGTGTAAATATTTTAAATTGAAGATCAAAATCATTCATTGTATTCATATAGGGTCAAGGAGTGTAGCTGTAAAAAATCATCAAAATCGAAGTTAAAATAACCGTTAAATCGTGATTTTTCGTTTATAATCGTTGAAAAGTTTTGTTTTCTTACTTGATCTCTGAATGTTTGGTTTTTGTAATTTTTGGTGTATGTGAGCTCGAAGTATATACAAACATGTTTGACGGTTGGATTGTTGAAACTAGTTTCGTAGAATGGGTATCCCATCAAAACAATATATTCACTAACACTTAAGAGTTTATTCATACTTTCGTTAAGTATAACATAAGATTTTGTGGTATCCACTAGTGTAAATATTTTAAATTGAAGATCGAGTTCATTCATTGTATTCGTATAGGGTCAAGGAGTGTAACTGTAAAAAATATCAAAATTGGAGTTAAAATAACCGTTAAATCATGATTTTTCGTTGAAAACCGTCGAAAAGTTTTGTCTCGTTACTTGATCTTTGAATGTTTTTTTTTTTTTTTTTGCAAGTTTTAGCATATGAGATCTCGAAGCATATACAAACAAGTTTGACGGTTGGATCGTTGAAAGTAGTTTCGTAGAATTTGTATCCCATCATGTTCAATGGTATGTGTGTGTATATATATATTATGTAGATTTAAAGTTATTTATTTTGTACGTATAACACTTAATAAATCGAATGGTATGTATATTTAAGCCGATCCACTGGTCACCAATTTTTAATATTTAATTTAATATATATATATATATATATATATATAATAATTATAGTTTTTAGGGGTATAAAATTGTTAAATTAATATGTATAATTATTATAGTATTTTTTTAGGGTTATAAAATTATAAAATTAATATTTTGCTTATTGTGTATCATATTACCCACAGTGTATAGCCGAATCAACTCGTTATCTTAATAGGTGCTTATCGGGTTACCCGATAATGACCTGATTCATTATCGTGTCGACTCAAACACATGTTAATTTCGTGTCGTGTCGGATTATCGGGTCGTGTCAGAATTGTCAGGCCTAACCATAAGTGATAATGTACTAATTATCATTGAAGTTTAATTAAATGAGTTTAATTAATCTCATCATCTTGTCAAATAAAACCTAATGGATGGCACACTCAATCATGTGAGTTTGAGACAACATGTTCTGTTGAAATATATTAATAGAATTGTTGATTAATAATATTTTGAATAAAATAACAAAAATATTATTCTTACCATCTATTTGTATCATTTTTCTAATAGAGATGAGATTAACATGTGTCGGTGGACACTACGCTTACTAGAGATGGTACAAAATGAATGAATAGTAAGTTTAACACTTCTCAATAAAATAATTAAAAGAGTTGTGTATTCAAAAAGGACGATAATTGGAAGACGGGACTTGAAAATGTTTTGGGAATGTTTTGGTTTTGGACAGGGTCCACATTGGACTTTATCACTTAACACAAGGGTCAAATACGTGACAAGGCCCAAAAAATGAGCCCAATGGCTCCATGGCCGATTCTCTTTCAAGTGGGCAGAGGCTTGGATTGTTTTAATATACAGACTTCGTCTACTTAAGCACAGGTAATATTAGAGAGACTAAATTTTAAATTAAATTTTGTAAATTAAATAATTTGGTTGTTAATTGAATTATTACTTAAATGTTGATTAACTTGCTTATTTCCTATTGATGACACATTATTTGATTTAAAATTTTGATCTCTCTAGCATTATCCTTTAAGCACACTCCATCTCTCGCTCACAAAGGGTTGGTTTTCATTTGGGTTTTCACACAATTTTTGAGAACCTAGAAACCAAGAACACTCAGTGTCCTAGAGCGAGAGAGAGAGAGAAAAAGAAGGAGAGAGAAGCAAATGATTTTCAGGAGTTGAAAATAATCATTTGCTAGTTGCGATTGTGAATACTAAAATCACCATCTCTTCCTCCTCTTCCTTGTCTTCCCTCCCTTAGAGAGAGAAAGTGTGTATGTTTGTGCTAGCCTCTCAAACTCTCTCACACCACCACAACCTCAAGCTCTTGGAGATGTTGAAACTTATACGATGTCTACTTTGAGATCTCACAAAGTACCACAAGTTGGAGGAGCAGTTAGCAAGGTTCAAAGAAAATCGAACCTACAAGAAGTTTCTCTCCTTGGATTCAAAATAAGATCCAAAGGTTACATCTAAACCTTAATCTTGTTATTTCAATGTTACATATAAAGGTGTTTATATGCATGTGGTCCACTATTCTAGTGGACATGGTATTGAGTTTTTACCCATACTCTGATCACCACCATGTTGCCACCACCATCTTACCATGATCATTACCACTTACTCCAATCGCCACCGCTACCCCATCGCCACCATCAAAATTTCCATGACCATCACCAGCACTCCATTGTTACCATTGCCACCACACCACCTCAACTACTATAACTTGCCATGACCTCACCAGGACCCATCACCACCTCTTCTACCACCACCGTACCACAATGTCATACGATCACCTTTATGTTGTCGCTGTCACCACCACCATAACTGACACCACCCCCATCTTGCAATATTGCCCACTACTACGATCGCCGTCACCACCATCAACGCTACCTCTACTACAACCAACTTATCACGATTATCACTATCACCTCTACAACCTTGTATGACCACCTCATCGCCGCCACCCCCATCGTGGCGACCACTGATACCACCATCACCACAACTGCCACTTCTACCACCGTCTTACCTTTCCCATTACCACCACCCCCGCCCCTACTCCTCCACTTCTCCACCATAGCACCACCACGCCACCATTGTTTCCCCTACCACTGTCACAACCCCAGAAGACCATGTTGGGACAATATCTTGCTAGAGAGTGAGCTATAACACATCAAAGTAGGTATGCACAATGGTATATGTTTGCATAAGTGCTCTGTCAAACTCGAGAAGGGGTATATGACTCTTGGGAAATTGTATGAACCAGGGTAAACTGTAATAGAACTCTATCAACTACACAATCCAAACACTTGAGAGCAACTAGCTAGGTATAAAATGTCACTTTTGGTAAAGGATATCATGATGCATTCTCTAATTAAGATATGGATCCTAGACAACCTTGTATGTCATTCATCAAACGAATACATGACGTTTGTCATATTAGAACATCAACATGCCTAGTAGCTTGGCTCCCCATTTCACGGGTTTGATGCCACAAAATGAGTATTGTTCTTTTGCTAAGATTGATTCGTGAGTCGCAAAGTCTTTTGCTCAAGTGAGAACCCTGCATCCTTTTCGCGTGGTCAAGCGATGCACACATGTTTGACCCTTACATTTATATGGAGAGTAATAACATTATGAAAATGCTCGTTGATCCATGCTGTCAGTAAGGCAAAATATCCACCAATTTGCCTACATCTCACTGGAGAAGCAAGTCCAAACTGCGGACACAAGAACGCTAACCCTGCTGCGCGCCATGCATACCCCGCAAACAATATTCAAGTCTCGTAAAAAATTCAAGTACATGCCAGTAAGCTTTAGCCACAAATGAAGGCAAAAAAGCACCCTTACAAGAAGAACACACTTTCACAAGTTATCAAATCGGAATAACCTAACCATGTGCAACTTTTCATTAATCTTCAAGCGAACTTATTCCTCTTATCTTCTTGAAGTGGTAACAATCTTCATGATGCTCATAAGGCACAAATTTCACATGCAAGTGATGACCTCCTTCCTTCCTGGCTAATTCACAAATACAGAATGTATGAGATGATCAAGGTTTTAACAGATCAAAAAAGGTACATTTGTCAAGAGCAACTCAATCTCTTACGAATCTAGATGAACTAAGTCAACATGTGTGTATACAGTATATGCAAAACTAAAGAACTTGTAAAATGAATCAACAAAGAAAGATGAAGAGATCTCACTTTCGCTATTCCAAACGACTAAATCGATTAAGATAGCATGGGCATATAGAACCAAACCAACAAATAAGACATGATCAATCTCATATTTGACTCCTACCATGAACCAGATGAACTAAGCTAGCATTTGTGTGGGAAAGAACTCCAAGTTTAGCATCTTGACCAATTAGCAAAGTTGAGATGGAACAATCCCTATACAGGCAAGGCAGCAAGGCAGTGTGTGATGGAGATGGGAGAGAGGCTAGAGGATGAAAGGAGGTCACTCTACAAGGATAGATATTTTGAGAGCTTATTTACGTGCTCATAAAGGCACAACAAAAAAATCTATGAAAAGATGTTGGTCTAACTAGACAAAACACGATCCAGTCATCCAAAAGGTACTAACCCCTTGGCATCACGGTAGAAATAATACTGGTGTTTTTTTTTTATATTTTTTTTTATCTCTTCTCTTTTGTCCAAATCGACAGTCGTCCAAAGGGTACGACTGGGCACACGTATGATGAAGTGCAATTGAAACATCAAAAAGGATCATGTTTTAACTGTGATGAAAATTTACGGGTCCTAAAAACCAACTACTATGTGTACGATGAATTAAGTAATTTTGATTCTGAAAATCAAGAACTACAACAAGTTGAGGTATGGTACTTCCGCTCCTTCGTCTATTAAGACCGTGAAGGTACTTCAAATGATTAAACCTGTTGTTTTATCGTGTTATTTAATTCGGCAAGCTCTCACAACTTTATTGATTATTCATTAATTAGTATCTCATTCGTCTATTAAGACCATGAAGGTTCTTCGAATGATTAAACATATCGTTTTATCGTGTTCTTTAATTCGGCAAGCTGTCACAACTTTATTGATTATTCGTTAGTTAGTACCTCCTTCGTCTATTAAGACCATGAAGGTTCTTTGAATGATTAAACATGTCGTTTTATTGTGTTGTTTAATTCGGCAAGCTCTCACTAACTTTATTGATTATTCATTAGTTAGTACCTCCTTCGTCTATTAAGATCGTGCATGAAGGTTCTTCGAATGATTCAACATGTTGTTTTATCGTGTTGTTTAATTTGTCAAGCTCTCACAACCTTATTGATTATTCATTAGTAGCCAAGGTCAAGGATACGGACAATGTAACGGAAAAAATGGCAAGTACAAAGCCAGACAAACTAATAATCCAAATGCTGATTTGTGTCTTCTAGATATAATCCTATGACCATGATTGAAGATTTTTTTTTTTTTTTTTTTTTTGAGAGTTTTAACGAAAAACCTACGGTACTGTTCACTTTAACGAAAAACCATATTTTTACACTAAAAAGTCAATCCTGGTACTATTCACTTTACCTTTATTTTGTCCTTATCATTAAAACTCAAAGCTTTCAAGCCCTTTTCATTAGTTTTTTTTTTTTTTTTTTGGGATCAAAATAAGGAATTGCTCTATTCATACACAATCTATATCGTGCATAATAATTCGTTTTCTTTTAAAATGATTGAAAATGCTTTTAAAAAATATGTTTACCAAAAAACAAGACTAAGCCAAATATATGAACAAGACATGATCAGGATCACCATTTCACCAAACTACCCATACTTTTTAGTGTTAGTTTAACTTGTATAATACTCAAATGCCAAAAAAGAAAAAGAATCATATAATTAAGAATTCAGTCCAACTAAAAGCCAACATGTTACATAACGCACCTAATTCACCTAGCACACACATACTGTAATATATATCCACGTCCAATATCCTTTTATGTATCGACATATAATTTCTTAAAAAACTTTCCTTCGTATTTTTATATGGGAATAGTTGGAGTCTTGACACGGTAAGATTGCTTATTTAAGACATATTTAGCTTGCAACTGACTCCAAACCTAATTTTATTAAATTGCTTGCTCGACTTTTGCCCTACTAAATTTAACAAGTTTGGGAGTAAGATACTTTGTTAATTGCTTTGACCTGCCACAACAAGCCATACACATTCTTCTACGGTTGACGTCTTCGTCAAGTGGATCAGTAAATTAAAGGAGTTTAAATATAGATCAAGTATCTAATTAGTTTTAAGAGTAAACCTCGAAGGATTCGTGTTAGTTGACACGTTTGCAAATCAAATTTTTACTGCATGTTTATCTTCTACCTCAGCTGAGGACTGTAATTTGTTGTTAGTGTGTTTTTGGTTTATTGCCCTCTACGTAATAAAAAAATAAAAAAATAAAAAAACAAAAGCTGCCTAATGTTAGGAAATCCTTGTTAGGAGCATGACCAACAATAGTAACTGACTATTTTAATATTATTGGTGCTATCCACATATCATTTTTTTTTTTTACTATTTACACACTTCTTGTTAATCTTTGTCATTTAATTATTTTCAATTCATTTAATTTGACGGCCGAAAATTAAAAAAGGCGTGTGAAAAGTAAAAAAATGTATGTAGATAACACCAATCTTTTAGTAGCAACATCATTGAAGTTCTGATTATCTTGAAACTAATAAAATACTTAAAAGTTGTTAACCAAATAAATACTTATAAACAAGATGATTTTTTATTTATTTTTTTACTCTAATTAGGGTTACCTTTTGTGTATACTACAATATATTTACGTTAAGGAGTGGAAGATAAACAAGTATCAAACTCGTTATCCATAATATTTGAACATAAAATTTCTCACTTACTGAGTTTAGTCAAATTGATTAGAGTAACATGTTTCACCCTCTACACCTACGTTTGAAACTTCCTGATAGTTTAGATAAATTTAGTGTAACTACCACTAGGGTTGGGCCAGAAAGGTCTCTTAACGCCTTCTTTTTTTCTTCTCATCGGAGTTATTTCACAAAGACTTGCCATGGTAAGGAAGAAGGGAGAAACAAGCACACTTGGAGAGCGCAGTACATTGGATCTCTGTCTCAGTTAAGAGGAGTCATGGAAAGAACAGGTTCAAAATCACGATCAATTCCTTTTTCAAATCCTGCTGCAGCTGCACGAGCCCTTCCCGCGTGCCATAAATGACCTACGAATAGGAAGAATCCTAGAACAAAATGAGAAGTAGCTAACCAACTTCTAGGAGAAACATAATTGACTGCGTTGATCTCGGTAGCTACGCCACCCACGGAATTTAAAGAACCTAAAGGAGCATGGGTCATATATTCCGCAGAACGTCGTTCTTGCCAAGGCTGTATGTGACTACTACGAAACCATTTATTAATATCGCTATGATAACCGACAAGAAACGTATATTACTGTTGGATATTAAGCAAAATCCGACAGAAAATGGATGCAGTGGTGGATATAATAAGCGATAGAATTGCCAACGTCAGGAAATGAATTTTCCGATAGAAAATATTCTAAAACCGATAGAAATTATGTCGGATATAACCAACAGAGAATATATTAATAATGAATAAATAAGAGTATTCTCTGTCGGATAAAACCAACAGAAAATACTCTAAAATCGACAGAACTTATGTCGGATATAACTGACAAAGAATTTATAAATAGGAGCATTCTCTGTCGGATAAAACCGATAGAAAATATATTAATAATAATAAAAATATAAACCAATTTTTGAATCATTTCTTTCCCTTTCAAGTTGGCCTCCCCTGCATTCATTGCATTTTCCAGCTTTGAGATGTGTAATGTTCCTCTAAGGTACACCATATTCTTCAATTTTTCAAGTTTGTTTCCTAGGGAAACAAATTAATAAAAAGAAACGAAGAAAAGTGTGAGAACAAATGAAATTTTAACCTATTAGACAAACAAAAGCACTTTAGAAGAACTGGAGAAAAAAAGCAAAAAGACCTGGAGATGGCTTTTGACATGAGAAATAGTGAGCCCTTTGACATCCATCAACTGAAGAACAAGTTTTGGAGTAGCCTCTGCAAGAAAATAAAGAAAAAAAAATTAAATAAAAACAATAAAATTTTCTATAAAAGAAACAAAAATAGAAGGTAGGTTTTCGTAATTGCTCACTTTTATGGCCTCTGAGCCTTTCGATGGCCTAAAGAAAGCAGTGATGAAGCTCAGGAGTCCATCTTAAACGAGGCACATTGGACCTCACATATTGCCTAACGGCGACATTCCTTGCACTGCAACTACTTGAAGTCATTATTCTTCCTCAAATTTGCTTCTTTTGCTTTCAAAAGCCCAAACTTTCCCAGCCACTTGGGTCTTCCTCAAATTTGGTTCTTGTTAATAACAAAAAAACATTAGTGATGCATATTTACAAACTCGAGTCAAGATTCAAAATACAAACTCGATTAAATAACATAATCAAAATTTAAAACACAAACTGAACGTAATACAAATAATTTAAAATGTACTGGTTTCGGAATGTTGCTTCTCGAATTGTTCATCCATGGTGATTGAAGCGCGAAGAAGAAAGGGAGAAGAGAAGGAGAAGGAAATGAGGAGAGGAGAAAAGGGGGAAGGAAGGGGGAAGGGAGAAGGCACCGGTGCAAGGAAAAGATGGAGGGGTTTTATTTTGGAAATTTTTTATTACTTTCGGTTATAATCGACAGAAAAAAATGGCGGCAAAAATCCCCCCAAAATTTTAAATTCCCCCCCAAAATTTTGTTACGATTTTAAAAAATAAAATAATAATTGTTTGGTTTAATAAATAAATAAATAAATAATATATATTTAAATAGAATACGTTTTTAAAAATTAAATAAATAATTGTTTGATTTAATAGATAATAACCCATGTAAAATATGTGATAAAGAAACAAAAAGATAATTGTACAATGAAAATGTCATCACACAAACTAAATATTGTCAAATCAATACTTGAAAAGCATAAATAAAAATTTAGCACAAATTAATTTTCCTACTTCAAATTTAGGCAAATTTAACGAAGATATGCACTTTACGAAACTAGTTTCCATGATCTAACCGTCAAACTTGTTTGTAAATACTACAAGATCGCATACGTAAAAAATTGCACAAAAAAAAAAAAATTCAGAGATTGAGTAACGGAACAAAAGTTTTCGACGGTTATAAACGAAAAATCATAATTTAACAGGTTATTTTAGCTCTAGATTTTGATGATTTTTTTACAGCTATGCTCATTGACCCTATAAGAATGCAATGAACGAATTTGATCTTCAATTTAAAATATTTACACTAGTAGATACCACAAAATCTTATTTTATACTTAATAGAAGTATAATATTAACTCTAAGTGTTTGTTTAATCTACCGTTTTGACTGCAAGTATTATTCTACGAAACTTTTTTCAATGATCCAACCGTCAGACTTATTTGTACACACTCTGAGATTGCATATGTAAAAAATCGGAAAAAACAAACATTCAAAGATTACATAACAGAACAAAAGTTTTCGACGGTTATAAACGAAAAATCATAATTTAACGGTTATTTTAACTCCAATTTTAATGATTTTTTACAGTTACACTCATCGACCCTATAAGAATGTAATGAATAAATTTGATCTTCAATTTAAAATATTTACACTATTGGATACCACAAAATCTTATTTTATACTTAATGGAATTATAACATTAACTCTTAAGTGTTTATTTAATCTACCATTTTGATGCGATACACATTCTACGAAACTTTTTTCAATGATCTAACCATCAAACTTGTTTGTACACACTCCGAGATCACATACATAAAAAATAAAAAAAAACAAACATTTAGAGATTAGGTAATAGAACAAAAGTTTTCGACGGTTACAAATAAAAAATCACAATTTAACGGT